GGGGGAGGGGCCATGGGTGGTTGGCTGGCCAGCCCTGCCCCTGATCGGGATGGTGGAGGCCCATCTGGTGGGGGCTGATCGAGGGTAGGGCCAGCCAAGGGGAGGGGCCCTGGGAGGTTGGCCAGCCGGCCCCACCCCAGATCGGGCCAGTTGGCTGGCCACAGTGGGCGTCATAGCAACTGGTCATTCCCGTCGCTGGCTTTTTATATATATAGAATAGATGATCCAGTAGTGAGGGAAGATACATGAGAGAACAGATGGAGCAATGTCCTTGAGTAGGCAAGAGAAAATAAACTTCGCTTAAAAGTGGAAGAATCACCCTCCTCCAAGAGCACAGACAAATCAATCAGAGTAATAAGAAGGCAGAATATATGTGTGCAGATGCCAGTAGGTAGGTGGATATTTGTGGAAGATTGAGGAACTTCCCTGAGCACTTCAGTTTTTCAGTGAAGTAGGAAGGTCATTACTTCAAAGCAAGAATGACAGAGGACCCCTAGCCAGTTAGGCTCAGATAGAACGTTGACCTGAGGACTGAGGGTCCCAGGTTTGATTCCAGTCAAGGGCACATACCTAGGTTTCAGGCGCAATCCAGTCAGGGCACGTGTGGGAGGCAACCAGTCAATGTATCTCTCCCCTTCCCTTCTACTCTAAAACTCAATGGAAAAATATCCTCAAGTGAAAATTAGCAACAAAAAAATAACTCCCCCATAAAACCATTAAAAAAAAAGAGAGTGAGTGACTAGGGGAAACCAAGTGTGGTTATAGGGCAACACTAAGGGCACATTTGAGGTTTGGAATCAGGCCAAATAGGTAAGATTTTTCCCTATGAACAAGTGACAATAAGTCCTTCATGGCATCAACTCTCAAATTTGCTTTTCCCTTCAGCTGTGTTTGTGTCATTTATAAATCAAAGTTTTACTTCAAATTTCTTTTTTAAACTTAACTATATATTTTCACCACCTTTGTATCAATTACAAAAGAATATAACAGCCCTAACTGGTTTGGCTCAGTGGATAGAGCGTCCACCTGCAAACTGAAGGGTCCCAGTTCGACTCCAGTCAAGGGCATGTACCTTGGTTGCGGGCACATCCCCACTGGGGAGTGTGCAGGAGGCAGCTGAATCGATGTTTCTCTCATCAATGTTTCTAACTCTCTATCCCTCTCCCTTCCTCTCTCTAAAAAAATCAATAAAATATATTAAAAAAAAAAAGAATATAACAGCCCTTTAGCATGGCCCATGTGATTCAGCAGTTGAGGGTCAAACCAGGACCCAAAAGGTCACTGGTTCTATTTCCAGTCAGGGCCCAGGCCCAGGTTGCTAGCTTGATCCCCAGAAGGGGGTGTGCAGGAGGCAGCCAATCAATGATGCTCCTCTTTAATCAATGTTTCTATCTCTCTATCCCGCTCCCTTCCTCTCTCTCTAAAAAAACATTTTTTAAAAAGACCTTTAGTGAAAAATCACCCTTTTTTATGGGCATGGGTTTACCTTGTTTCAATGAAAACTAAATTCTTATTCAAAGGTGTGTTATAGTCCATTTATGGTTAATAATGTTCATTTCTGATATTTTTTTTTTTCAGCATACCTGGTTGATAAAGTCAAAATCAAAGGCTATTATGCATTCAAACTGACTGAAGAAAAATTTAAACCCAGATTTGGATTCTTCACATCTGACTTAAAAGCTAAATCCTCAATTCAGTTTTACAACAAACTGATCAGCAACGGTGGCTTCCCTTCTGAGAACAATAGTCCTAGATGCAGTCAGACTCAAAGAAACACAGAGTGCACTGTCTGCTTATTTCTTGTGCAGAAGAAGCCACTGATATTCTTTGGTTGTTGCTTCTTCTCTACCCTGGTTCTACTTTTATCAATCACCTTTTTTCATAAGCGAAAGAGAAGAAAATTTTGGAAAGCAAAGAACTTCCAACACATACCATTAAAGAAAGGCCACAAGAAAGTTCTTAGCTAAACTGATCCTACTTCTGCCTGCATGATAGAAAGCTTAAAAATTCACTCCAGTTCCATGTACTCATAACTTACAGAAGATATACCTATACTGTAACAAAGAAAATTTGAGATATTAGTGGTAGCCAAGATGATGACAATCGATCTCACTTCTGTTTCAAATGAATTTTCCTGTAGGTGTCTTCATGTCAGTGAATTCAGTTCTTGGATCTGAAGATAAAGGCTTTACCTAGACCAGCAATTATCAACCTTTTTCATCTCATGGCACACATAAACCAATTAACATTCTGCAGCACACCAAAAAATTTATTTTTGCTGGTCTGACAAAAAAAGTGTAATTCTAATTCATTCACACTGGATAGCTATTGTGTTAGCTGTTGTCATTTTTTTTACAATCTAAGGGAAAAGAGGTCAGTGCCCCTAAATAGGTATTGCATGTTTTAAAAATCCTTGCAGCACACCAGTTAAAAATCACTGACCTAGACAATAAGCTATGAGGATTATCTGATACATTGCTTCAATGATGTTTTCCATCATTCTTCTTTTATAAATACCAAGCTACTTGTCATAAAAAAAAATTACTTTGAAAAAGTGCAACTTTGTTTTGTTAGACTCCATAGCAGAGATTTAAAACTCAACACTGGATGATCAGTGATATATTCTGTCACTTCTAACAAGGTGCTTTGCCCTTTATGGCAGGGTGGTTCTCAAATGGAAAGAAAAAACACAATAGGGTAGAGTGCTGTCTATAGCCAGTTACAGCATACTCTTAAGCACATCCCTTAGTTTTCAATAGAAATACAAATTATCATCTAATTTTGTGAGGTCTCTCCTTTAAGTGATTTTTAAAAAATAACATGTTAACCTCCATTAACTCATCTCATGTAAAGATCAGAATACTAAGATTAAGGACAGCAAGACCCAAATGCCTGTGAAGATAGGAAGTCACCCAAGCAACTCTCTTTAGACAAATTAACATTCTTCCTCACGAGTTTTGTGAGGTGACAAAATCGTATCTAGCATACTTAGGAAATGTTTTATTTATCAAGTTATCAGACCAAGGACCATATCATTCCCAAGACTAGCTCTCCCCTGAGGAGCTTCACTCTTCAGACACCACATGCATACATGGATCTCTGAAGGTGTAGAATGCAGCCACATCTGGACCTAGCAACTATGACTCTTTGGATGCAATTCACAATGAGTCGTCTGAATGAGTTCCAACTTTTTACACTGCAGCTGAGATTTAGTGAATTCTTAAGTCTAAACTTGGAGTTTTAACTTTCTTAATTCTGGGCTTATGATTTGTTCAGTGTATTCTAATTGTTGGAGGAATAAATCTTGCATGTAAACCCAATTATGCCCATTTTCTTTCTTTAGGTTAATCAACATTTAAATGCAGCTAGTCACTAGCCATCCTCTCCAGAAATTCAGATTTTCTTAAGTCAAAGGAAAGCTCTTCAGTTCAAAAAGGCCTGGTAGGAAAATAATCTAAATTAAGGCAATTGTAATTGTTTTCCAAGTCCACCTCTACCAGAAGCCAAATTACATATATGAGATTCTAAGTGAAATAAATAAGTTTCAAAGATACTATAAAGAGGTAACACAATTGATCAAGTAAATGCAAAAGGAATGAGAAATCAGTTTGCTCTTTGGTTGGCCAAATTCAAATAGCAAATTTTGGCTATTGCTTTTTGTCTATTCATCTTACCCCCAGTGCACCCACTCCTCCAACCATGGCTGTTTTTAGATTTTTGATATTTTCTTATGAGCACTAAGTGGGCCTGAAGGTATACACATAGTCAATTTTTTAAAAAAAAAAACAGAGCCATTTAAATTCATCACTTGGCTCAGGTTTTTCCTTTGTGCCACATAGATTCATTCTGACCCCAGAGCTCCTGTAAATAGTCTTATAGGAAGTACCAGTTAAGAATCTCTTATCAACTTTTCTTTTTTCCATTGATTTTTTTATAGAATGGAAGGGAAGGAGGGGTGAAGAAACATCGATGTGAGAGACAAATCCATTGGTTGCCTCCCACATGTGCCCCCACCCCACCGGAGCCGGGGATTGAACCTGCAACCCAGGCATTAAACCTGAGACCCTTCAGTGTGCAGGCCAACCCTCTAACCACTGAGCATACCACCCAGCGTGAAACTTGACCCAACTTTTTAACCAGTAACATCCAAGGTTTTGAAAAATGCATATTTAGCCATAAGAATAACAATGGAGCTAAGTTTAGGTTTTGCTTTTTTGGTCTCTACTTTGTATCTTGTATTCATGGTTTACAATTCCATTAATCGAACTCACTATTTTTCAAATGTCTTTACATTTAGAGCTTAAAAATGTATTGTCCTTTTTCAAACTTGTTGCCTTGCCATAAACTCTCCCAAATACGCAAATTCCAAACCCAATGCTTACAGTCCTCCCTTTCTGCCACTTGGGAAGTATTTCGACACCATTTAAGAATCCTTAGGTAGCCTGGCCAGCATGGCTCAGTGGTTGGGGTTCAACCTATGAACAGGTCAGTTTAATTCCTGGTCAGGGCACATGGCCCGGTTGCGGGCTCAATACACAGCATGGGGCATGGAGGAGGCAGCCAATGACTATCTCATCCTTCATGTTTCTCTCTCCTCCCTTCTACACTGAAATCAATAAAAATATATTTTAAAAAGTATTGCATTGCCAAAACCGGTTTGGCTCGGTGGATGGAGCGTCGGCCTGCGGACTGAAAGGTCCCAGGTTCGATCCCGGTCAGGGGCATGTACCTGGGTTGCGGGCACATCCCCAGTGGGAGATGTGCAGGAGGCAGCTGATCGATGTCTCTCTCTCATCGATGTTTCTAACTCTCTATCTCCCTTCCTCTCTGTAAAAAATCAATAAAATATATTTTTTTTAAAAAAGTATTGCATTAAAATACAATTTATCTTAGTTATCTGTAGGTAAGTATTCAATGTGGCTCATGACCAATTATATTTACTATTTAGGTTTAGCTAAACTCATTTAAAAATCATAAAGGGTCAATTAGAAATGGTTAATAACATTTGACAGAGTAAGATCTTTAGAGTAAGTTTTTGAGATTTGTTGGGGGAAAAAAATCTTAAAAATCTAACTTGTTATGGTTGCATATGCAATATAACCATCTTTCACTAACAAGTCTTTGATATATGTATATGGAAACATCACAACATAATTATGGTTTAAAGAGCTGGAAAATGAGGTCAGTTTATTGACTTAATTTTCAATGTAATTTACTCTAAATTAACTGTTAACAATTAGGTCAAATGTAAGAATTGTGAAATATGAATGGGTTTGATGTTAACTGGGTGCTGTACCAACACTGCCTCCCCCATCCTCTCAAGCTGTGTGCTAACCAGATTAACTTCTCATTATAAAATATGTACTCCTCCACCTCAAAGTTGGGGCAATACACGGTGCTTATCCATAGAAGACCCAGAAGATATGAAAGACTTCCTTGGGGAGAACTAGATTTTCATTTACCACACCCAAGTAACGAAATGGAGATCACTCCTTGGATACAACCAACCTCCGATATCTCCAGTGAAGGTCTCACCCTGCATGACAATCCACTTCACTCTTGGAGAAATCACACTTACTCTAAGAGTTGCTACTATGGTCTATTACCCACACTCAATATTAACATCTGTGATATTGCCACTTGAAAATTTCTTCCTCACATCCAGCTCTGAAATCCTGTCAAAACATATCCTTTACACTTCCACTGCTATTACCGTCTTAAATCTTTATAAACTGAACCTCCCTGGCAATCTGGGTACCATTCACTTGGCAAACAGTTATGTGCCAAACACTGTTCCAGGTACTTAAAATATCCCTATAGAAACCCACCCCTCTGTGAAGGTTAAATTTAGCATCAAGAAAACATACAATTAACACACGACAAAGTAAACTACAAATATTACATTGAAACAGAGTAAGGGTATGCTAGGTTGGGGGTGAGGAGTGAGCATAAGAGGGTGGTCAAGGTGGGCTTTAGTAAAATTTGAGGTCATTGGTGAGTCCAAAGACAACTTCCAAAGGGAAAGATAACTTGAAGCCTTGGGGGCAGCAATATTGAATAGAAAGGTCAGTTCAGTCAGTGTAAAAGGTAAGGGTAGGTTCAGTTTAAAAAAGCATTCTGGCCCTAGCCAGTTTGGCTCAGTGGATGGAGCATCCGCCTGTAGACCAAAGGGCACGATTCTGGTCAAGGGCACGTATCTCGGTTGCAGGCTCCTCCCCAGCCTGGGCCATAGATATTTCTGTCTTTCCCTCTCTTCTGCTCACTCTAAAAATTAATGGAAAATTATCCTTGAGTGAGGATTAAAAAAAGGCATTCTGGCTGCTGCTGAAAACATGGAGGAACAAAAGTAACCAGTTAAGACTATTACAGCCCTAGCTGGTATGGCTCAGTGGATAGAGTCAGCCTGCAAAGAGTCCCAGGTCCCTTTCCAGTCAAGGGTACATACCCGGATTGTGGCCTCGATCCCCAGTAGAGGGCATGCGGGAGGCAGCCAATCAATAATTCTCTCATTGATGTTTCTCTCCCTTCCTCTCTGAAATCAGTAAAAATATATTTAAAAAAAGAAAAGACTATTACACCAATCCAGGCAAAATATACAGGGATTTTTGTTTCATTTCTACATTATGAAAAATTTCAAAACTTTATATAAGTAGGAATATTATAATGAAGCCCCATCTAGCTTCAACAAATTATCAACTTGGAAATAACTTGTTTCACCTAAAATGCTATTCAATGCCTACCCCAATCCCACCTAAAATACTTCAAAACAAATTCTCGATTTATCATTTCATCCATTTCTTAAACACCTAATAATTATAATCATCAAACCAGACAATATGTATTTGAAGTGTTGACACATGAAATTAGGAGATTATGGAATGTTATCAGTTTGTTAAATATCAAAGACTAGGACAGTGATGCCGAACCTATGACATGCGAACTCTTTTTTGGTTGATTTTTCTTTGTTAAATGGCATTTAAATATATAAGATAAATATCAAAAATATAAATCTTTGTTTTACTATGGTTGCAAAGATCAAAAAATTTCTATATGTGACACAGCACCAGAGTTAAGTTAGGATTTTTCAAAATGCTGACACGCTGAGCCCAAAAGGTTCACCATCACTGGACTAGGATATGAAAGTAAATAGATGACGAAGGGTATAGGGTAAAGGATAACATGGAGAGGACCTTGGAGCACAGCAACTATCCTATATAATAAAGAGCTAATATGCTAATTAGACCGGACTGCAGAACAACCTTCTGGAACGACCAGTGGGCGGGGCTGCAAGGGCTGAGCCCCTTGCACGAATTTCGTGCATCAGGCCTCTAGAGTTTATCATAAACACAAATTAACTGCATCTCCCAATACTTACTAAGGGTGTACCACTTTGTTTCCCTTCGCAGAATAAGTTACTGGTATACAGACAAGTAATTCAGACACACTTGCCTCAGATTCAAATTCATGCCTCTGCAAAATTAGATTACCTTCAGGCCACCCCCCAGAATTCTACATCCAATGGTAAACAGCTACATAGTGTTGCCTGTCACTGGTATATTCTTGCCTTGATAATTCTTTCAAAAAAAGAAGTCACTCTTCCCATGAAGTCTTACTAGAAACTTAACTGTTTACCAGCCAAATAGTTGGAAAGAATTATCAGTTTAAGAAAAAAAGTCTCAAATCAATACAAGGCTTTTATTGTACATCTTTATAGTTTGACAAATGTGGCAAACCATTCGGCATCTCGGTGTTTCTATAGCTGGACAACTGTAAAAAGAAATAAAATAAAAATGTCTGTAAATCTCCATCAAAATCCTTGCCCAGAAAAGTTCTACTCTAAATATAAAACATAGATTCACATTTTAAAATGTGAATGCAATTTCATTTATTATCTGCCAAATTTACTGTTTCAGATTGCAACTCATTTCTGCCACTGTAACTCATTAAGTCTTAAATTAAGATACCCCCCAAGTAAAGCAGTAATAAAACTTAAGACACTGTAAGAACCTACCTTAGATCTTATTCATCAGCCTGCTGAACTGTTCCTTTTTCAGAAACATAGATACCATCCAAAAATTTCCTGATATCCTTGTTTTTAACTGTTGTGGCTTGCTGAATCAAAGCAGCTATAAGAGATAAGGCAATTACTTTACCAGCCAAACCCATTTAAAACCTGAGTATTTTGAGGAAAGCTTTTAATTTCCACAATTAAAAAACACTCACCAAATGAACAGAATACCACATATTCAACTATAATATTTAGAAAAAAAATTATAGGCATAATAAACATACAAACCTGAATTTGATACAAGTTCAATGTCATTTCCTTCAAGAATCAACTCATCTTTCTGGGCTTGAGATACTGAACAAGCAACGCCTAAAAGGGGAGAAGGTATTTGCATAGTGTCAATGTACAATCAGATGTGCAGAGAAAATATTTAATTTAAAAATATTTAAATCAAGTAGCAATTTATTCCATTTAAAATCTTGTTTGTGTATCTGCTTGAATGAATCTCTCCTATAGTAGTTACACGCTGATTCAATTAAGGAGTAGAGAAGATGACATTCAGCTAGTACATTTTAGCTATAGAAAGCTTGTATTCCCATCCCTCCAGACCCCAATGGAATAAAAAGCACCAAGAGCTTATAAGCTTTAAAATTTTCTACACCCTATCCAGTGTGACTCAGTGGTTCGAGTGTGGACCCTGAACAATAATGATCTGGGGTTTCCCAGTCAAGGGCACAAGGGAATGTACCTGGTTTGCTGCAGGTTCAATCCCTGGCCCAGTCTAGTCAGTTCAGGAAGCAAGCAATCAATAGTTTTCTCTCTCTCTCTCTCTTTCTCAACCTTCCCTCCCTTCCACTCTCTTCAAAAATCAATAGAAAAATTATCTTCGGGTAAGAATTAACACACAATTTTCTAATGCTTCAGTGTTTATGTATCAGGCAAGAACTGCTGTAAGTGCACTTCAAATTTAGCTCATGAGATGTTCCCAATTTTACAGATAAGGAAAATGAGCTACAGAGATAACTGGCCCAAGGTTGATTGTGAGGCCTCAGAATTGAACCTAGGCATTCTATGCTATTAACTGCTATCCAAATAGTCTTTTTTAGGATTTTAGTTTGCAGAGCGAATTAAACACAACTACCATGCCCTGCAAACTACTCCAATGCAAAAGCCTTCAGGAATTGCAATTGGTATAAAGCCTTTAATTAGAACCAAGAGTTATTATAAGCATCATCAAAACAGACAATCCTAAAATATATTTGGTTGTACTCATAGCTAACCCAAACTACCAGCCTTCACAAGTACAAAGGAAATATTTCTGAACCATCAGAAGGTATGCACATACCTGACCTCATCCGAACTCTGCGGATGTATTTTTCGCCCAAGAAATTTCTAATTTCAACAAGAGAACCATTCTCCTGAATAACGACGTTGATGGGGAAGTGAGCGTACACAGACCTCATCTTGTAACGGAAGCCCTACATTAAGTAAACAATTAGCAATGCTGAGAAATTTGAAAGACAAGAAATCGTTTTAAAAATTTGTAGGATACTTATAATTTAAAAGTAAAACAGTCCTCACATAGCACTCGTCAAGGTTTTATAACTGTCACCTGAGCCAAGCCTTACAAAAATTTGATACACAAACATTTGTTTCAGTGTCTCCTCACTGGACTGTAAAGCTCCTTAAGGAAGCATTATGTATTTTTTCACCTGGAGTTTACATACATATTATTTTGTCTTAGTTTCAGGTGTACAACATAGTGGTTAGACAATCATACACTTTGCAAAGTGTCCCCCAATATTTCCAGTACCCACCTGGCATAGTTATCACATTACTGACTACATTAAGGAAGCATTATTTTACTACCTCCTGTGCCCACAGCAATCAATGCTAGCTTCTTTTAATAAGAAACCCCAAGTCCTTTACGTTGGACATAAGACTAACATTTACTGAGTCACTAAGGTAGGATAGATGGCAAGAATTGAGGATATTAAGACAAGCACTCTGCCCTCAAGGAACTTACTAGGTTGGGAGCAAAGGGTAAACAAAGGGAGACATGGCAAGATAGGCTTATAATGGAGTCCAGTACAAGTTGCCATTATCAGGTGTACTCTAGGACAGACTTTTAATTAAAAGAAAAGCATTTCAGCAAAGACAGAAGCATCAATTTTATTTTAAAGGCCAGGGAGAGGGATTTGGAAGGAGAATAGTGATATCAAATATGCTTTTAGGGAAATGAACAGGGAGCTCAGAAATCAGATCCATCTTTTCCTATCCCTATCAAGAGGCCTTGGTGATGCGAGGCACACCATAAATAAATCAAAACCTACCTGATGTGCTACAATTTGCAATAAAAGCAAAACAAAACACACCCTCAGCCCCACTAAGACCATCGGGTCTTTCCTTGCATTGAGACCCTAAGTAAACACTTTTACTAAGATCACCTGTTCCCACATTCTAGAGCTCAGAAATTTCAGTAAATCACATGCATAATTTATTCCCTACAGCAGACACTTATGCTGCCTCAAGTACGGGGTGTAAAAAGTTGTCTGACGGATTTGCTTACCAGTGTAACACCCTTGATCATGTTCTGTACATGACTGCAGATAGTGCGAACTGTGGCCAGTTCCTTTCTATTTCCCCACCATTTGTCAACCCGGAGCTGTAACAGAATAAAAACTTTAGCAGATTCTTTCCAGTAATAAGTAACTTGGAAGAAAAGTCCATTTACGCAGAGAATTACACTACATTCTAACATGAGGCCTAATTAAAGCACATGCTTTTCAATTGGAAAGATGTAACCACATATAAAGCCCTCAGTAATTAACAGCTATCACTGTTCATCACAGGTACACAGTTTAACAAAGGAACGACAACCCACTTCACTTCTAGAAAGCTAAAATGCTAAGCGTGAAAAAGTCTACTGCCCGATTCCGAAGATTCTTACAAAAACAATCGCGAGGAACTTGCAACAGTTGTTAAGACCTGCCACTACCGAGGGCTGCTGGCATGGAGCTTTGTTCATAGTCCCCTCTTCAGGAATTTGGTTCTCCAACTTCGCTAAAACTACCTACAATTTTTGATACCAAATTTTCAGCTAAAACATTAAACCTCAGTTCTGTCATTTTTAAAGCAGCCAAATAAGCAAAGAAGGTGTCAAACACACACACACACACAAAACCTTACCCTCTTCTTCTTCTTTCCGAGGAGACTGAGCTCTACATTGATGTGGTTGAAGTCCCTCCGCAGGGTGCCCCTGGGGCCCTTCACAATCACTGTGCGCCCCTTCAGAGTGATGTCCACTAGGAAAGAACGCATTGGTGAGGCGGCGCAGCCGGGGACACAGCGCGCAGTAAAGGCGTAAGAAAAAGACCAACGTCAAGTCCCCTACCATTTTCTGGGATGTCCACAGTCTGATTGCTGAGAATGGTCTTCATCCTGAAACACAAACACTCGGGATAACCAGAGACCTGAGCAGGGCCACTTTCCGCCCAAACTACCCTGCCCCGAGTGTCACAGCTATCGGAGACCGGCAGGCAGGCAAAAACCCCGGGGAGGTCTCGGGTGGACCCACCGGGAGAGCGGCGCCCCGTGCGTGCCGGCCTGCGAGCAGCAAGCCGGTGTCCCGAGGCCCAGCAGACCAACTCCGACCCGGCGCCACCCTGGGAGCCCTATCAGCGAGGCGCCATCCCGGGAGGGCTGCGGGGCGGGGGTAGGCCCAACAGCCGGGACAGAGCTCGAATCCCAGTGCCGCCAAACCCAGATAGGGCCCACCGCGCGGGGGAACAGCCAGGATAAAGCCTCCGAGCGCCACACCGGCGCCGCTGGCTTTCCCAGAGCCGATGGCTTCAGATTCCCAAGGACCACCGAATGCAGACATAACCTCACCTCGCAGTAGATGCGGCAAAGAGGAAGCGTCTTTCGTCATCACGTTCTTGTAGCCGTAAGGGCCCTGCGTATGACGTCATGAGTGCGCGACGCCACTCGGCTAAAGCAGCCAATCTGGAGCCAGCTTGAAGTTCCACCGGTTCAGTGGTATTTAAGGTCAGCTGTCATAAATACCGAGAGGATTTTTCACCTATTTTTTCCTGGTAACTAGATCCCGGGACCCTGCCGGAAGACGGAAGAGGGAGATGTCTCTACGATGCGGGTCAGTGGTCCGCATCGTGAGACCCCAGGTGAGCGGCGGGATTTCAGGGTGCGGGTGTGGGGTGGGGGGCTCCATTCTCTTCAGTGCGCCCAATAATAAGGCCAACAATTTCTGATCATTTACTTCTACCCAGGCACTGTTCTAATCTTTTTTCTTTTTTTAATGGAAGCAACAAATTGCTCTATTCTCGTGGCCCTCGGGATAACATAATATATGCTGCTTCTTTTTAAAAAAATTATTTTTATTGATTTCAGAGAGGAAAGGAGAGGGAGAGAGAATCATTGATTGGCTGCCTCCTGCCCCACCCTCCCCTGGGGGTCTAGCCGAAAGCCCTGCTGGCGCCGTAACCGGGAATGGGCCCGCCCCACCACTGACTGAGCGCTGCCCGCGGGGCTCTAATCTTTTTTCACTTGTTGTCATTTAATGCTCCCAACACCCCTGTGTGGTACAGTCTCTGGTATTGGTTTCTTTGTAGGTTCTCTGGCCCACGCTGAGAGCTTTCCTCTCTGTTTATCACTGAGTTGAACCCTGCACTTTTGGAGCATTTATAGGAGCACTGTGTTGAGCACCCCTTATTATTTACTACTACTGAAGTATAGTAGCAATCATCTCAGGTAGAAACTGTAGTTTAACTTTAACCCTGCTGTTTGGCTTCTGTACGTATTTGCTTTGTTTAACAATAGAAAAGTTACTTTGATTTTCTGAATTGTATAAATCATCCCATTCGATTGAATGCCTTATTGATTGTAAAAAAGAAAGCAAACTCTGTACCTGGGAACCAGGACAGCACAATTATCCCAAGACCTGAGGGTTCCAGATAATGTTTCCCTGTCAACTCAGTGGTGGTCAGACCCAAAACTATAATTAATCTTTGTAGATAACTAATCGGCTCAATCTCGATTCTGTAACTGCTTTGTGCAAACCAGGGTCCTCATTCCAAACCCTAGGATGTAATCAATACCTTTGTGATTTTTGCCTATATAAGTCTGGTGTTTCAGCCATCTTATCACTATGAGATTTGGGAGAGCAAGATGCCCCCTGATAGTCCCGGATTTGCAATAAATATTGTTATGCCCAGATTTCAGGATCCCCAAGAAACCACATCAGGGAGCCAGCCAGTCCGATGCAAAAGCATAAGAGTCTTTATTCAAGCTAGCTCGGCTCCCCCACCTTGCCGACGCAGTGACAGGAAGCAGAGAGAGAGAGAACTCTGTGTGGAGAGGGGTTTTATAGGGGGTTGGAGTAAGGGGAGGAGAAAGGACTGTGCCCTGCCGATTGGCCAGGAGCAAGTCGGTGTCTTGTTCCTGGGTGTGGCTAGCAGAGGCTTAGACTTCTGGGAAGAAGCTCCTTGCCAAGCACGTGGCCAAGGTAAGATGGAGCACTTACC